AGAGAGAGCCTGAAGTGATAGCTAGACCCTCAACAAGGTATTGAACCACGTGCATTACCAGATGGCTGCAACCACCGGTAAAGAAGAAAATTTCCTCACGACCACCTGCCAAGGCTGGTACTTAGATTAGACAAGGAGAAGAAGGCACTAAGAGTACAGGAGGTAAACAGCCCCCAGACACACAAGCAGGACTTACCCATGGACAGAGACAGGCTAGTGCATTTTGGAGACAAAGAGCAGCAGTGATTGAACCTGGGAGTGTCTCTGACCTCTGCCTGTGCTGCTCTGGCCATCCTCAGCTTGAGGAGAGATTCTGCATCCTGCAGGCCTGAAGGAACCAGCACATTCCTCTAGTTGCCTGGCCCAGAATCAAACATCTGCTCTCCATGAAGGAAGCGAGGAGGGAGGTGGCCAGGAGGGCGAGGGTGGGACGCACGTGGGGATGCACCTGTTGCACTCGTGCTGAGGGAGCTCAGCACACATATTTCAGCTGCCATGGTGCACGTGTCTGCTCCAGCCTCACAGGCTATTCACGTCCATGTCCTCACCAGGACATCCACAGAACCTTCTCTGGTAAGGGGTTTCATTGATACTACACGGACATCTTTTCAGCCTGGCCAGGAAAGGGATTAAAATATGAGGAGAGCACCCAGGCCAAAGGGAATCCACAATTTTTTGTATTTCAGACGTTTCTAGAGCAAGAATGCAGAAGCCAGTCTTGCAACCATAACAGAGCAAGCCCAAGGGTCAAAGATGAAACCACTTCCCAGGAGTAGGGAGGACACGTGTTACCTGCGGTTCGTTAAAAGGAGTGTAAAAAAAAAAAACAACAGAATTTATGGATAATTCATGACCTGTCTTTTAAAGGGCCAGGAGAGGTGGCTGGCAGCTGATTCCAGAGGAGTGCCCCGTGCCCAGGCCCACACCAGCTGGCCTGCAGAGACCCAGGGAGACAATCAAACTGCCTCTGCAGAGTGAACCCCGCGTTTCACCTCTGCTGTTTCCCAGGGCACGGAGCTGCTCCTGTCTGAGAGCTGGAACAAGGACTGGGCTCTACCCTCTTCTCCATCACCTGCTGGTGAAACCCCACCCTGTGCAGAGCCACTCAGCAGCTTCCAGGATGGCCTCAGCCAGTGCAAAGTGCAAATTCAAAGCCAAGCCCAGAGCCAAGGCATCTGGCCTGGTGTGGAGCTTCCACAGGGGATGGCCTTACCCTCTTGCCAGCCGCCAAAAGGGCGACAGCAGCCCTTCCAGCCAGCATGTTCATCAGCTACCTGCTCTCTGTAGCTTAAGGAGTTCTGAGACACCTGAGCTAGCTCCTCCTCGACTGCCCTTGCAGCAGGGCCAAGGCTCTGAGCGTTTGGCAGGCGTTTGGGTAGTTGTAGCCCAGCCGTGGAGCTGGCTGTGGGACACAGTGGATGTCACCACCTCACTGGGGTGCACCGAGGATGCTCTTACCAAGCTAAGTCCTTCAATGAGTCCCACACCAGCTACCTCCTAACAGGTCGAGCCACAGAGACTTCTCTTGAGAGCCAACCAAACTCACAAGCTCTGGATTGCAAATAAATAACTCTTAGCCTCCTACTAGCCAGATCAGCTAAAAAACACGCTGGCAATCTTCAAAAGCTTGTCACCCGAGTTCAGCTGAGCTGGAGGTACAGACCTGCCTGGGAAAGGAGATAGTATGGTTGCCTCAAGCTACTCGGCTTTGGTTTTCTTGGCAGGCTCTTCCCCTGCCCGTGCCACCCTGCAGGCACACGCAGACAGGCATCTGTGAGCAGGGCAGAGAACAGTGCAGTTTTTCCTGAAAGCCCTGTGCTGAAGGTGGTGTTTCCCCACCTCCACGCTGCCGACAAATGCTGATGTAAACAGCACACGTACGCCCGCCGAAAAGGCCACGGGGGTTTTCACGTGAATCCTCTGTTTTTTTCCACAAACCCTGTCACACTGTGCTTCAGCTTAAAACGTACCCCTTTGCTTCTGGCTAACCTCCCATCCCTTTAAGGCTGATGCACTTTACAGCATTTACAACAGCACACAAAAACCACTCGGCAGAACCAAATTCTGAATGCGGGGACCTCAGCTGCAGAGCTCTAGCACGAAACCCTTTCAAGAAACAGTTGTGAGTGTGGCCACAGTAAAATCAGAGGAACCAGCACTGACACAAATCACACGCTGAAATCGATTGAAAAAAAAACACCCAACTACACCTCTGGTATTGATGGGAGTAAAACATGTCATTTACAACGCCACCGAAATCATAACAGGAAGGAAGCAGACCTCAGAAACTATAAACAGAATTTAACAGAAGTAGGAAGTACTTCAGATGCTTTCACGTAGTGACTGTAAAAAAGATACTAAAAGGAGAAAAGGTTTTCAGGGTTTTTTTCTTGTTTGCCTCTTTTTTTTTTCCACTTTACGTATCCATTAGTTATTTTGAACAGCAAGAGGCAGTCGCAAAAGTCGAATCCAGCTCTAAAGTCCTCATGTGCAAAATAATGAATGGTACAACTCAACAGCTTGATTTTCCTCCCACTCTTCCCCCTGCCCCATCTCTCCAAGAGGAGCATCCCAACCTTCCTGCTTGGTTGAAATAAGTCTTTCACCTGCATCTCTCTGCATCCAAGCTGAGCATGTTGTTTGGCCAGAACGCAGCTGGTGCTGTGCTCTCCTCCTTCCCTCTACCCAGCCGCTGGCTTTAAATCGTGCTCCTTCAAGGGAAATAATTAGAGGAAGCTCATTCCAAAGCCAGAAATGATCATGCACCTCAGTAGTCAACGTGAGCCTGCACACAGAGAGGAGACACCTCCCCCATCCTCAGGCGCTTCACAAGTCTGGTAACCACTTTTCACACCTTGCTCTGTCTGTGAGTTACTGCACCCAAGGACCCGGCTCAGGACCCTGATTTCCAGTAAACAGGGGCTGCCTGGTGAAATTTGCTCCTATTCTTAACTTCACTACTTCAGTCCACTCGTCATCCTTCTTTTCACACTTTCTCACCTTTTCTCACTTAAAAGGCCTCTGAAAGCTACAGCGACCAGTACCCACCACTACCCACCACCTCCAGCTGCCAGCCCAGCCAGCGGCAGGTCAGAGGTCCCCGAGCATTAAAAAATAGGAAACCTCCCTATTTTCCCTTTTCCTACCAACTGGAGCTCATAACACAGAGATTTCCCTAAGAAAGCAGCTTCATCTTTTGCCCTCGCCCTGCACTCTTGGCTTAAAGCACCGTTGCCCATGGACTCAGCCAGCAGTGCAGCCCAGGCTCACGGCGCGGAATCGAGCCCATTAGATTCACCCCACTACTGAAAATAACACATACAAATCAAGCTGGTGGGGAATAAGGACTTTATTCTAAGATGTGAGCTGAAGCAATGAGCATATGAAGCAACAACCAGTAGAAAAAAAGCAAAAAGCACATCAAATATTTGTATTGTACCAGTTAAGCTTGAACACAAAAGTCCCTTTCAGTAAAATGTACGCAGAGGCCAGGAGCAGAAGCTCTGGAGGTCACCTAGAGCAGTGCTTCTAATGTCTAGGAAAGAGGTCTCCCCTGTGAAAATCTTTAAGCCAGAAGAAATACTTCAAGTAACAAAGAACACAAAAGTAAAAACGATCTCATCATTCTGCTTGGCACTGTGGAGGAGAGGGGGGATAATATATCCCAAAGGAGTATGCATCTTTAAGATGTATAAATTCAAAGTCCCTAGAAGACAAGTCTGCTGCCAGACAAGTACCGTTGTTCCTTCCTCATGCAGAAAGTCAAGTGAGGTGGGTCTGTTGAGCACAGGGAGGTGGTGTCTGGAGCTAAAGCTGCTAAGCTCACACAGTCTGCTCGCCAGCGAGGGGTTCCCACTGACACAGCACACCCCACAGACCTCTTCTCTTTGCTTTTCTAAGAGCACCTAGCAGTAAAAGCTGCAAACTGCATCCAGTTTTGGAAAAAAAAAAACATCAAAACAAGTATTTCCTTGGCTGTCTTAATATGGGAGGGCAAATGTTGCTCTCCTTGAACTCTCCCTTGAGAGTCATTTCAGTACCACTGGAAGGAAGCTGTGAGTGCCCATGAAGAGCAGAGCTGCCTCTCTGACAGGCAGAGGTGGTGGTGGCTGTAACCTGGCTCACGAGTGTGGCATCAAAAACGGGCTGGCAGGACCATTTCTGGGCTGTTTGCAAGGTCTGCCAACTTAATTCTAATGCATACATATATATATAATGCATAGTAGCTTTCAATTATAAGGAAAACGTAATAGATTTTTAAACTTGCTCTTAGGGACTCTAGAAATTTAGTGGTTAATCCACTTTTTATCCACAAGTAATATGAACTGCACGGTCACTTTTCTTAACACAGTACCATAAACCTCAGACACTGCTATTATGGGGCTAATCCAATAACAACAGTGGCAGCAACAAAATCCATTGTCAGGACAAATGTCAGTCAGGCATTTAAAAAAATAAGTCTTTGAGGAATTTCTTTGTTTTTTTAAAAATACACTGAAATATTCTATACAAGAATATAGGCATCACGCTTATGCATCTAAATTTATAACCACTTACAGGTATTATCTATCCTAAATAAACCATCTATATTTGCTACCCACCTATAGTAGCTACAGTTTCAAAATGGAAACACCACAAATTCATGTACCTTCCCTGAGATCAGTAACCCAAAATAAATAGCCCTGCAAATGTATCAGTGTAAACTCTGGATTTGAATCTTCAGTAAGGATCAGTCCTCAGGACCCCAGGAGAACATTAAGCAAAGGTAAACACAGCAATCACGTCGTCAGTTTGAGTTATTCTCAGTGGCAGTGAACCCAGGTGAGATGCGGCATCCGAACGCTGAAGAACGTACAAGGGGGTTGTCCTAGTTCACCCTCCTACCATCGAACCCCTGAGCACATCCAGCTGCGATGTGGATCTCCAAAAGGCAACCCAGATCTGCTCCTCCACTCTGCACCATCCTCACAGTGCCTGTAAAAACGCTCTTTCTGAGGATCTTACTCTTGGATAGAGGAATGGCGAATAGATCTGTGATAATCCTCTGGACTAGTCACAAGTTCTGGTAAATCATAGCCTCTCAGGAGATGTCCACTGTTTTGCTGAGCAAAGTAATACAGCTGCCTGGCAAACATGGGTTCAACCTTAAGAACAGACAAAAGGTTAATCAGACAGGTGACAACGTTTCATGCTCCTCCTCCTAGTTCTTTTAAGGAGGTTTTGAGTTGAACAAAGCAGTTCTGCTCTCCGGGGTGGGAAAACCACCTCAGTGCCCTCACTGATGTCTGTCTTCTGCTGCCAAAGCCTCGCTGACAGCACACGCTCCTCACCTCCACCACCTCTGAAGGCTTAACTGGAAGTGCTGGAGCCCTCAGGAAGACTGAGATACATCACTAAACGACTCTGCTTGAAACCAGACCTCAATCTAACACCAAGGTTACTCTTGTCTCTGTCGTTCAAGCTCTGCTGAGCAATCTGTTCAACCACCAAGAGGGATCTGTATGATTTACCCACTGTCCTCACTTCTATCTCCAGAAACCACCGCTCCTGCTCAGGGCTCTGCCTGCAAATATCCAAGTTGCACACAGAACAAACACCTGAAGCTCTCCTTACTCTCAGGGGACGGACAGGTTGGACAACTCTTGTCCACAAACCACTCCTGTGAGTCAGCCAGCCCCTCCACGTTAAGACACAGGCAGCATTTTGGAGGAAAAATACACAGTGTGTGGGTCCTGCCTCTGGGAAGGAGGGAGACAGGAGGGATCACTGCCTTGGAGCACAGCTCTCGGGTGGGATGGTGGAGTACCACCAGCCCACGAGCTGGAACAGCCCGAGAGGCTGAGCAGGTTGAGGACCAAAGGGGGAAACAAAGCTCTGGAAAGAGCAGGAGCTACAGGCTGCTAGAGAAGCTGCCAGGACTGGGGACAGAGAAGGTGGCTGGAGAGGGGATTCTGGGAAGGAGGCATGGAAAGCTGGAAAGCCAAAGGGAGGTGGAAGAGGGTTTACAGAGAGATGGGGATGGAGAGCTACCTCTAAGCAGCCACTGCACAGCTGGGGATGGATTTGTGAACTTCCCACCTTCCACCCCAGAGACTCTGAGCAGTGGAGTTGGCAGTACAAGAGCCCAGCAGCTAAGGGGAGGCTTATGGCAAACACCCGACTTGGATCCATCCTGTTACCAAAGGGGCTTCCAAAAACTCAAGAGAGACAGCAGATTTCTTCCCAAGGATGCCATACACTAAGCCCTGAGGCTAACCTGTGCATGATCACCTCCCTTGTGGTTTTATGGGCCAACACAGCCAATTTAGAAAGTACCTGGTCTCAGTCTCTGTCATCACCCTCTCTCAGAGAGCATCCCGAAACAGCAGCTTTGAGTGTGTGTGAACTGTGGTCAGTCAGCCCAGGAGCTTGCAGCTCCTTCCCCCCGAGGCTGCACAGGCAGCCCCTGCACCCCGCCAAGGGCTGAGGCCCCTGGGGTGCAGGCTGGGATTCTGGAGCACCCTCAGGTGCAGTGCCTGTGAAACCACCACGCCCTGCCCCAGCCTGGCAGCCTGAGGAGCTGCACAACTGGGCTGGTGGCAGCAGCATGGCCCAGACCTTCCAGGGTACCTTTCAGCTTTAGGGTTTGAGGGGATTTGCAAGAGATCACAGAATGGTTTGACTTGGAAGGGACCTTTAAAGGTCACCTAGTCCAACCCCCTGCAGGGAGCAGGGACATCTGCAGCTAGAGCAGGGTGCTCAGAGCTTGGTCCAACCTCCCCTGGGATGGTGCCAGGGATGGGGCAGCGACCACCTCTCAGGGCAGCCTGTTAAAGTCAGGTGCTGTGCCCTGCAGAGGGCCACCCATCAGCCCTCGGCAGATCTGGGGATTCAACCCTGGTCTGGATGGTGCTGCATTTTCAAGAATTTATTACAACCTACATGAGGTAGAAAATCCTGACTGGCAGATTCACACCCTCCGAGGAATACATTTCTTTCAGGTAAGGCAGAAGTTCTACTTACATGGGCTGTAATGAGCTTCCTCTGCCTCTGTGGGTCTGGGAACTCCTCCCCAAAGCAGAGAGCGACCTGGTACCGGGGCAGCGGGCGCCCGTGGAGAGCGAAGGCTTGGAGCTCTGCGGAGAGAGAAGGGCAGTGCTGAGGGGCAGCCCTGGCAGGGCAGCCCACAGCCACGCCGTGCCACAGGGGTCAGCAGCCCGACAGGGAGAAGGCTTCTGGCTTGAGATAAACACGGGTCAATAAGTAAAGAGAGAAAAAGAAAACAAAACACAAAACAAAGCAAAACAAGTGATGCAAAAAGCCAGCGCCAAGCGATGCCCGGCCAGAGCCCGCGCAGCAGCCACCCCCTCGCCAGCTTCACTGCTGACCCTGGGGTGATGTGCTCTGGGGTGTCCCCTTGGCCGACTTGGCTCAGCTGTGTCCCCTCCTAGCCTCTGGTCCACCCCAGCCCACTTGCTGCAGGGGCAGAGTGATGCAGCCCTGGTGGTGTGTGAGCCCTGCTCAGCAGCAGCTGAAACACCCAGCACTGCTAGGGTCACGGGTCCAAACCTGAGCACCACACAGGCTGCTGCGAAGAAAACTGACTCTGTCCCAGCCCAAAACAGCACAGGCTGGTCAGAAAGACCCCTTGGATGGCTGAGCTCCAGACGGAGGACCCTGGAGCACAGTGGGAGAAGATGAACTCCAGGGGAGGATGAGAGAGCTCAGGAGGAAGACGAGCTAAGGAGAAGACATTGAGCTTGGAGACTTCCCACAGATCAGGGGCAGCTCGTTGTCAGGCTGCAATTTTTCTGTTTGCCTTGCCTCACAACTGGTTTCACACACACACACCAGGATGGCTTCCAATCAGTGTCTCTGTTGGGCTCAACAGCAGAAACTCCTGGAGCAGACACCGGTGGTAGCCAGGACCCCCTGGGCAGATGCCCAAGAGCAGCACTGACACCAAAGGCTGGGTCAAGCCAGAGGCTCAAAAGTCAGAGACTCAAGACTCTGTCCATGGAATCCATGGATACCCTCATCAAAGTCTGCATTCTGTGGAGAATTTCTACCTGGTGGGTTAGTCAAGACTTCATCTTCATTTATATGAAATGTTCGTGCTTTCTGGAAAAAGCTGACATTAATATTAAACCAAATGCCTTGTAAAGAAGCAGCTCCTGCTACACAGGGCAAGAAGAGTCTTCAAACCAAGCATGAGAAATGCACCTTTCTCCCAAAACACACCCCTGCCCTTTCTACTCTAACCACAAGCTTTTCAGACCAAGGTGTGAATTCGGTCACTTCCACCAGTGTCCCAGCCCATGGCCTGGAACTACTGGTCTTACTGGGAGAGTCAGTTTTAAGTGGTATGTTATGGAGAGTAATTCAAGAGGGGGCAAAAAAATAGCTATTGCTTGAGCTTATCTTTGGGGTTAGGCAGCTAAAAAGAGATGTCCTGTCAACCGTTTGGAAGAACCCAGAGTACAGCTGAAAAACCACCTGAGAAAAGGGAAAGGGATTTCCAAAACCATCATCAGAGGTAGAACTATACATCTTTAAATTAGCATGTGATTGAAGCCCAAGCCTATACTCTGACCTCAAATTCCCCTTTCTAACTGCCAATTCTCACATCCAGATGAGATTTCGCTCTGCAAACGCCACTTCTTGCTTGACCATCTTGTTAGGATGGTGCACCAGCCTCGGAACATAAAGTAGGATAAAAACTGTTGGTTTGGGTCTGGTGGGGCTTTTTTTAAATTTTGGAAGGCATTATTCTCCTGAGGGAATCATGCCAGTGCTGACACCCAGTTCTAATGGGAAAACACCAAGCTCCAGGCACACCGTTTACCTAGAGCTATGCCACATGTCTCAAAACCCAGCCAAGGT